TTCCATGAGCAAGAAACTTAAAAGCTTACACTCATTCAGCTCATGCAGTACTGGCTGGTTCCGGAAACGGATTCAAGAGTGTTTCAATAAGCTTATACAGTATTAGCTTCCAGCACAATCAAACTAAAATAAATTTGTATAAACTAAATTGAATTCTTGATTGTCATGCTTAAAAACAGTTTTCAATTCATATTCATTTTGTATATTGACTAATGTAAAAACAAGAGACAATGCAGATAATATTGTGCTGAAATCTTATACATGTACTTCCTTTTAAGCAATTAATTTACCAGAGACAAAAATAAACGCGACATAGAATTTTGACATGCAGAAGATAATAAGATATTATAGACTTCCAAAACAATAATATAGCGAGACAAAATAATGAATCTCTTTGAATATTCAAACTGTTTCTTGTCAATTTAAATGACATCCCTAAAACCATTAATTTTCATTCATCTTTATTCTAGATCACCCTGGTATTGACTTAAAACAATAAGACTCTGGTAAGAGGGTAATATGGCTGAGAAAAATGTAAAATGCTCCCAGAAACATTATTGTGTGTAATCATAATTTAACAAAGCAAGATAATCAGTTCATAGTAAAAACTTTTATATGATTTATGGTCTAGCTTTTTGTAAACTTTCAAGATTTTATAATGGGTGAGGATTAGATTGAATTTACTCCTTGATGCTATTTGAAGTATGATATAAAGGCATCTGGGAAGCATGATTTACAAAATTATGATTTAGACATTATGTTAATAATAAGATATATGATTTGTTAAAGTATAAATAACAAGATAAATAACTAAATAAACAAAATAAATACATAAATAGGATAAATACACATAATGAAATTTAAACCTAAATCAAAACCTCTTTGAAAAAATTGACATGTCCCTCTTAAATTGGTAGGAAAACAAATTATTAGAATTTCCTAATAGCTGCCGGAGTCACAATTTGACACATTATTCAATCAACTCAGCACTTTAATCAAGTAATATAATATGAATATAATATCATTGTCAGCTCAATTATTATCATTCTTATTGAGAATAATCTAATTTGTTATGTTATATCTCATTTTCAGTTTATTAATTCAGTATTTTTTACAGATATAAGTGTCAATAATCTCACTATCCATGACATTAAAGAGTTACTGCGGCTGCTACCTAATTAAGACTGTAACAATTGTCTTGTACAATGTGAAATATCAGTCTCTCTAGTAACCTGCTGAATTAATATAATGGATTAGCCCTTCTTTTGGAATTGGAGCAGTTCATTTCAAGTTTAAGGGATTTCTATAACAAAATATTAGTCTCTCTAGTAACCTGCTCAATCAATGTAATAGATCTGCCCTTCTTTGAAATTGGAACGGTTCATTTTAAGTTTAAGGGATTTCTATTTCAAAATACAAGAGCACAGCAAGGGCTGGGAAATAATACACCAACATGACAATTTGCTTGTGCAATCAGATACAGATTGGGCTCAGCATAATGCTAACAGATAGACATCCAGGTGCATATCAATAAGGTCAAAATGTTTTTTAGACATATAAAAAAATTAGTGCAATAGTTCAGATTGCACAAAAGCACAGGTTGGTCTGGCTCATACTGATGGCAGAGGCTTTACCTCTGTACCAGCCCTTTTGGTAACATGCTCTTTGGTATTTCTATTATTATACTTCTGATTAAACTGTAAATTATAACAGTTATTGCTTGGATCCTTCTCTCCTTTAATTAGATTATTCTGTCTTCTCAAATTTTTGGTTAGATGCCCTTAACTTGGTGCCTTTGTGTTAATTATCAGCGTGGCTCAGGGTTAAGCTGGGGGCTGCTGTCAGAAAACGTTTTTGATCTTTATTCTCCATTATTTTTTAATCATTTCAGTTCCAGAAGGTTGAGGGTCAATAACCAGTTAAATTAAGCAGGACATAATCAGACTTGTTAATGTATATCAGTTATGACAAGGTTACATTCTGACAACAGTTTTGCTAACGACCAGTTGCCATAATAAAACACCTTTAATGTAATTAGGTAATTTTCTAGATCATTAACAGAAGTCCCTGGAATAGATTTTGATGTATAATTCATTTACTCCACATTGATATTGACATAAAAATTACTATCTGGACCATTGGGAATGGTTGTCTGACTTTGTATATAAAGTGCATCATGTAAATTTAGAAATACTTGTATGAGCATAATTAATTCATTCAGTCGCAAATTTTGTCATAATATCTTAACAATAGCTGCAGATATAACAGAAATTTACAGAATGATAAAATATTAAACATGATCATGAAACTTCTATAGACACTAGCTATAAGTTCTGTAGAAGTTATTGATAAAGAGATTCAAATATTCTAGTAACTCCCATTTTATATTGATTCATTTCTCATGGCAGTTTATAGTTTTAAGTTTATCATGAAATGAACTTGGCGTTTAACAAAAAATGATGAAAAACTTTGGAATCACCCAAAATCTAGTTTTTCCATGTTAACATGTGGTCTTTTACCTAATTTTGGTGAAAAATTGTTGTTTTGTAACATTTATAATTTTTTTAGTTAACCCTTTCCCCCATGAGCATATTGTGAAAATGGCCATTTTCACTGAAAAGCCTCCTCTTACAAGTTCAAACTGCTATGAAACTATGAAAAATGCTTCAATACTAATCAAACTTGGCAGAAATGTTGACTGGACCATTGCCTTTGTAACGACATGCTCAGTCTAAAATTTCCTGTTACCATGGCAATGAGGGGACATCTCAAAATTGCCAAAATACACTATTTTGCCTCAATTTTTTCCATCAAAATTTATTTCAAAGTGCTGCAACTTCTCAAGGGATTGAGATAGGGTAAAGGCTTTTCAGCGTTGGTTACACGTTACCTTATGATCGACCTGGGGTCATTTTAAGCCTCTTACAAGTCCAAAATTTTCTTGGCGATGAATGGGACTCAGCCCCCCTTCAAACCCCCCAAACAGAAGGGGGCACATCCCCCTTCTGGCAACCCCCTGATGTATCTTTTGGATGGGGGACGGCGCGGAAAAAGTGCTCACTTTTTTTAGCAACATTTCTCAAACGAAAACATGTGTTTGGGGTTCAAATAGGACATTTTTTCACTATTTCAGGCCTAAAAAAAAAGGGGGGGGGGGGGTCGAAAATGCGTTGTTTCGCGTATATATGAGGTAAAGGGTTAACATCAATGTATAGTTCTTCAGTCATGAGCTATTTCCTATACTGGACATTAGAATTTACCTGACAGCCTTGGATGTAAATTCTTCCTTTTTATATTGATCATTTTAAATATACTTTCTCTTATTTGATTTGGTATTAATAAAACTAATGGCATCAGATTTATGTCCTTTCAGTAAATTGCTGTTCAAGGAGGTGCAGGTGTGGGGGTATATGGGTGTGGGGGATGGATGGTTTGGGGTGTGGGTATAATGTATGGTTCCCTGGATATTAAAGTTCTGTAACCTATCTACTATTGGCCTTCACTGAGTTAGACTTAATGTGATATAAAAACTGACATATAAAAAACTTTTGGGAACAGACAATACTGCTATGATCTGGTTCTGACACAAGCAAAAGAGTACAGATAATTACTGAAATATAATGAAACTATCAATATTTTATTAGAAACCAGTTGTACCCTCCAGTCAGTCATAAAACCTCTCCTTAGGTATCTAATTAGTTTTTTAAACGGCAAAAGTTCCATTAAGATTAAATAACTATCAAATACTTTTTATTTTTACATTTAGACAATAATGCACACATTCAGACTCTTATATAATGCTGAATGTGCAAGTATTTTCAATAAGTATCATTTTAATCCTTAATTTGCAGAATGAATCTCTCTCTTTTTTTAAGTCAGAACAATGCATATACTTTATATATCTAGACTCAGATGTTTAAGTGTGACTTTAAGAGTTGTTAATTATACTATATGAAACCTTTATATGCATTGTATATTAACTTTAGTCATAAAACTATTAAGAGTTTCTAATATAGCACTCTCAATACATTCTCTGGCATTTATCAATAATGTAGCATCTTCTTAAATTTCTGCATTTTCAGTTACTAATTCTATGGCAATTGTTTGCTGACATATCAGTTTTCTACTTGTCTCATGTAACAGTATATGTATGACAGTAAATGTGAAATTGATAGGTTTAAAACCCTGTTATTTTATAGAATTGCAGACAATCTTTTGTATGACAGTAATTTATTTATAACATGTTATTTTATAGAATTGCAGACAATCAAATAAAAATTTGTATTTTGTTTGGAAGTTATTTCTGGCTTTGCCTCTTGATTAAAGAGATTTTAAAGCAATCAAAGTTTAATATACTTTAATTCAATAGTTCTAACATCACTTGAGAGTTTGTTTTAATACCTAAGAGAAAAAGTTTTTACTTGTTTTTATTATACTTTTATGAGGAAAAGGAAGTACTAAATTACTAAGTGAATTGGCCTGAACTCTAAGATCTACACATTATTAGCCATGCAAAGAAACCTGCAGGACACATGAATGGCTATAGATCAAGAGAAAAGGAATATTCTTCAAGTGTGCAAAAGTAACTTTGTCACTTCAATGAGGAGATGATGTGTAGCATGCATGATTGTCCTAGGCTAACAAACAATTTTATAATAGACTCAAGTTCTTTTGTGAATTTTGTATCTGTGTTGAAGTAATATAATAACAAGTGAACCCAAATTGCTAATAGACATACATGGGACTGAAATGAAATCAGGGGCCATTTCTATTTTATTTTCTAAAACAAAAATAAGTAAAAAACCTTTGATATGCAGTTTCAGATAGGCCAAATCCTCAATTATCATGTAAAGTTTGATATAGTCTTGTTTAAATATAGAGGGCAGTGTGATATAGCTTTATCGACAGCATGAAATAGCCATGTAGATTACCAAATATTGAGGTATATAAAAGGCAATATGATATAGCATGTTTTTATATTTCATACTAAATGTACATACCATCAGCATCTTTGGCTTCAAGATTTCTAGCTTGTAACACTGTAACATTCAGGATAACTATTGGAGGCTGAAAGACAATGAACAAAATAAATCAATCAATAACTAATTGGGACTAATGTGAAATTAATGACATGCTGCTGAAAGCAGCTTCTAAGGATATAAGAAAAAACAAGAAAACCTCAAATAATAAAGACTTGCAGAGTTTATTTAAATAGATAAGAGATAATAGTTACATTTTTAAACGAAATAATTTTTATAAATTATTTGTATTTTACACAGAATTAACTTACTAAATTCATTATTCAACTATAAATTTGATAGAAAAATTATTAACTCAATATACGATATACTCAGTTGTAAATCAATAGACTGTCACAATGTGAATAGGCTAAGTTTTAACTCAATTGAAACTGTCACAATGTCACTTGACTAAGCTTTAACTCAATTAAGAATGTCATAATGTCAAAAAGACTAAGTTTTAACTCAATTAGACTGTCACAATGTCAATAGACTAAGTTTTAACTCAATTTAGACTGTCACAATGTCACTTGACTAAGTTTTAACTCAATTAAGACTGTCACAATGTCACTTGACTAAGTTTAAACTCAATTAAGAATGTCACAATGTCAACAGACTAAGTTTTAACTCAAATAAGACTGTCATAATGTCAATTGACTAAGTTTTAACTTAATTAAGACTGTAACAATGTCAATGGACTTAGTTCTAACTAAATTAAGACTGTCACAATGCCAATTGACTAAGTTTTAACTGAATTAAGACCTCCACAATGTCAAAGTTCTTACTCAATTTAGACTGTCACAATGTCACCAACCTAAGTTTAACTCAATTAAGACTGTCACAATGCCACTTGACTAAGTTTAAACTTATTTAAGACTGTCACAATGCCAACTAAGTTTTAACTCAATTAAGACTGTCACAATGTCACTTGACTAAGTTTTAACTCAATTAAGACTGTCACAATGTCAAATGATGAAGTTTTAACTTAATTAAGACTATAACAATGTAACTTGATTAAGTTTTCACTGAATTAAGACTGTCATGATTTCAATAGACTAAATTTTTACTGTTGAAGTGTTAACAGACTTAGTATTACCTTAACAGATTGTGGCAATATAAATATACTTAGAATTAACTTATTATACTCAGTGTTAATAGACTGTAACAATGTCAACAGACTAAGTTTTAATTGATTTGACTGAGTATTTACTCAAAAGACTCAACTCAGTAGACTGTCACACTGATGCAGAATCTAGTTTAACTAGTGTGACATGAAAACATGTTTGAAGCAATACAGAACCTTGGGTGCCAAATATCTATCAAATCATTGTACAGTTAACTAGATTAAAAACAAGACAGAGTGAAAGCAGACCATATAACAAAGTAGGTGATGTCTATGTTAGTCTGTGACACTCAGATAAATGTGACACAAGGCAGAAATGTCACATTTGGTAACAGGTAACATACAAATTAACAATGATGAACTGGCTGTATTTTCACAGTTTGTTTATCACATTATTCAATTTACCCACACAGAGCCCTGTAATTTGTTCAATACAGATTGACATGTTTCATTGAAACATCCACTTCATTATGACAATATCAAAGCAAAATTTAGCTTTGATGTGCAGCAATTCATTAGTTGTACTTGTAAATCTCATCTGTGGCACAAACAGACATCTTACTCAATGAGGAATCCTGATATAATTCAACATCACACTTTAAAACAATTCAATTACATTTCAGAAAATTCAAAAACCAGAACCTTAAGCATTCCTTATCTGCCTATGTACAAAACTAAATTCATTGGATGTTATGAGGAGTTACACCTCTCCTTTTCCCTTTTGAAATCACATGTTAAGATTGTACAAGAGCAGGCTTTCTACTGCCTCTACCAAAAAAAACTAGGGAAAAAGTAGGGCATTTTTTTACCAAAAAGTAGGGCAAAGTAGGGATTTCTAATGTTAAAAACTAGGGATAAAGTAGGAATTTCTTACCTTTTTAGTTAAGAATTAGCAAAACATAAAATCACCAAGACCACATCAGGCTGTGTGTATCTTCAGTTCAGTCCATGCTTGAAAGACAGGCACCTCATAGGCAGAATATTGCTGAATGTTTTGCCAAGGCACCATGAGCAGAGCTGCATCAGTACTAAGGGTGTAGTACTTAAGTACCAGTACCAGTACTTGCCAAGTTTTGCAGTACCATTTCCAGTACTAGTACTGGATTTTAGCTCAGTACTGCAGTACCAGTACTTTTTTGGGGGAAGTAATTAAGTACCAGTACTAATACTTTTATATATTCATCAAAGTTTGAATAAATACACAGTGTCATACAAAATAATTGCAAACATTATTCAACAAAGAAATAAAATCATTTACTTTAAAGTTGACATTACATTTTTACAACTTAAATGAACAAACATACTTTTTTACAAACAATAATCATCATATATTCATGTCATATGTTATTGTTTTGTAACCAGTCAACTGTAATACAATGCAATAATCTTACATTTTAAACCCACCAGTCTTTTTGTTGCCTTTTACACCTTCACACCTCTGTTCAATTTATACCAAAGTAAATAACTTTTTTATGGTGCTAACAATATCACTTGAAATATGATTATTTAGAATAGAAGTAATAAATTAGTGTTTATTTTGCTTTTTTTTTACTAGTAAATACAAAGTAATAAGATCGCAATACGAATATTTTACCAGTAAAGAGTTATTGACTCTGTTTATCTCAATTTAATTTTACTTTAAGTCTTTGGTGCTTTTTTATGATGATTATTATGTTAACATTTGAAGGAATATTGCAGCAAATTATTTATAGATTTGATAACTTACTTTTTCACAAAAATAAAATAATACATGGAATTTACAGCTTTACTTTATGAATAAAAATAATGACATTTTTATCAAAACCAAAAATACTGCCTAGTAATGCAGTAGCAGTACCACTTTTTTAAGACAGTAATGCAGTACCAGTACCTGAGTAGTAGCAAAATTTTGTAAGAGTAATTCAGTATCAGTACCAGTACTTGCAAAATTGCTCCAGTACATACTGAGGTACCAGTACCAGTAATGCAGCTCTGACCATGAGTCTTTCAAGGATGGACATCACAAGGAGACACTAACACACCTTAACTACTCATCAATTGCAACTGAAAATACAACTGAAACACCATTTTAAATATCTCCTTTTTTTTCATTTCATTTCAAAATGAAAAAGTAGGGATAATAGGGCTATTTTAGAAAAAAGTAGGGCAAAGTAGGGATCAAAAGAAAAAAGTAGGGAAAAGTAGGAAAAGTAGGAAAAGTAGGGACCAGTAGAAAGCCTGCAAGAGCTGCCAGTAGGATAGTGCGCTCTACTTATCTCAGTGCTTTATAGTAAACAAGAGCTTGGATAATATAGATTTTCTAATTTCAAAAAGGGCCATAATTCTGTCAAAATACATGTTAAGAGTTATGAGCCTTGGTAGTGTCCTTCTATTATGCTCTTGCATAAGTGTGTGAAGTTTTCACACATTCCTTTCAGTTGTTTTGGAGTTACCAACTTGAACGCAAAAACTTAACCAGTGTTATGGCGACGGCGGCGGTAACACTTACGCCCACACCTGGGTGTGCACAATAGCTCAAAATGTGATTTGGTAAAGGTCAACACCTTTCTTCTTGAACAATTCTAGTTTAACTCCTAAAAACATCAAAGAAAATTTAAATATTGTACAACAGACGGATAATCAATTTGTTGTTCCTAGATGTCTTTTTTTCATATTCAATTTTTAAGTTTCTTTTAAGTGAATGCAATATTACAATATAAAACATTGTGTGGCATACCTTCTCTTTAGTGGCTTGTGCTAAGAGGCGAGCATGATCCTCGGGAGAGATTTTGAAGGCCTCTTGTGCATACTGGTAGAGATCCTGTATAAATGGTAGATGACCTCCGATGGTCACGCCAATCTTATGTTTGATGGTGTACAATACTTCCACATACAGCAGCTCAAACTGTAAAATTAGTGTCTATTATTATTATCATGTCTTTTACATCAACATATATCAAAGATACATCGATAAATTAAAAATTTATAAATTACTTATACTTTAAATATTAATTACTTGTCTGTAATTCTTTTTCATTATTTAAAACCTGTTTAAATGCTTTCAGTAAAAAAAACATGATTGTGTCTTAATTATAAATACCCATTGCATGATTTTTGCTGACCAGTTTTTGTCATTCTATGAAATTTGCTTCTGCACATAAATTATATTTTGGGTGAAATTTCATAATTTCTAAATTATTAATTTTCTAAAATGGGTATTGGTTATTGATCAACAGAAAATAATTGATACATTAATATCATTTCTATCGATGACAGCTCTTATAATTATCCTGGATTTACAGCGACAATAAGTAAGAATATATTGCACAACCTCAACACATTTTTTGGGCATCAAATACTATTGTTATACAATACATTTATATAGTTTATAAAATCAGTAATTTGAGGGTATAAAAGGTTATACACTAATCAAATGTACATGATATGATGTATATGACAACAGGGAATGTATATGACAACAGGGAACGTGTTTTTATGTTTAACTATGATACAAAAGAGAAAGAACACCAAAACACTCGGCAATCTGATTTATACTCGGGGGCTACGCCCCCTCGTACAAATCAGATAGCCTTGTGTTTCGGTGCTCTTTCTATTACATATACCACACCATAATATCATAAATTATCGTACTCATAAATTAATTTCATTTCCTTATTTTCTCACAAAAATATATTGTGAACTCAAGAAATCTGATTAACTGTATGTTCCCAAAGGAAACACGCTAATTCAAAAGGCCCTGATTGTACAACACTAAAATCATTAAAATTGCCCCGCGCTTCTTAAAAGTTGTTTGGTTTTCTTATTAACTTATCGTCAATAATAACTTACCTTATCAAAAAAATCATTATACAATTACTGATGGATGTATGGGAGAAAATAGCCTTCCTGAAGTAAATATTATATAAATACCTCGGCTAGCACCTCCAGTCTTATTTACGTCATTCTAGCTATCTTTTCCCATATATCATCTCAGCAACTTGTATACTAACAACAGTCAACATCTACCTCTTTTCTGGAGAGATCTGGTAATCTAGGTTTCTGTACAAACTGTGTCTCAGAGGGAGGTGGCTTTGTGCTGTCCCTGTCATCCTGAAATATATAATTAGATGAAATATAATATCTGAGATAATACAGTGAAATATATACAGGGAATATAATATCTGAGATAATGCAGTGAAATATATACAGATGGAATATAATATCTGAGATAATACAGTGAAATATATACAGGGAATATAATATCTGAGATAATGCAGTGAAATATATACAGGGAATATAATATCTGAGATAATACAGTGAAATATATATACAGGGAATATAATATCTGAGATAATACAGTTAAACATATATACAGGGAATATAATATCTGAGATAATACAGTGAAATATATACAGGGAATATAATATCTGAGATAACACAGTTAAATATTATATACAGGGAATATAATATCTGAGATAATACAGTGAAATATATACAGATGGAATATAATATCTGAGATAATACAGTTAAACATTATACAGATGGAATATAATATCTGAGATAATACAGTTAAACATTATATACAGGGAATATAATATCTGAGATAATACAGTGAAATATATACAGGGAATATAATATCTGAGATAATACAGTGAAATATATACAGATGGAATATAATATCTGAGATAATACAATGAAATATATATACAGGGAATATAATATCTGAGATAATACAGTGAAATATATACAGATGGAATATAATATCTGAGATAATACAGTGAAATATATATATATACAGGGAATATAATATCTGAGATAATACAGTGAAATATATATACAGGGAATATAATATCTGAGATAATACACTGAAATATATACAGATGAAATATAATATCTGAGATAATACAGTGAAATATATATACAGGGAATATAATATCTGAGATAATACAGTGAAGTATATACAGATGGAATATAATATCTGAGATAATACAGTGAAATATATATACAGGGAATATAATATCTGAGATAATACAGTGAAATATATACAGATGGAATATAATATCTGAGATAATACAGTGAAATATATACAGGGAATATAATATCTGAGATAATGCAGTGAAATATATACAGGGAATATAATATCTGAGATAATACAGTGAAATATATATACAGGGAATATAATATCTGAGATAATACAGTTAAACATATATACAGGGAATATAATATCTGAGATAATACAGTGAAATATATACAGGGAATATAATATCTGAGATAATACAGTTAAATATTATATACAGGGAATATAATATCTGAGATAATACAGTGAAATATATACAGATGGAATATAATATCTGAGATAATACAGTGAAATATATACAGATGGAATATAATATCTGAGATAATACAGTTAAACATTATATACAGGGAATATAATATCTGAGATAATACAGTGAAATATATACAGGGAATATAATATCTGAGATAATACAGTGAAATATATACAGATGGAATATAATATCTGAGATAATACAATGAAATATATATACAGGGAATATAATATCTGAGATAATACAGTGAAATATATACAGATGGAATATAATATCTGAGATAATACAGTGAAATATATATACAGGGAATATAATATCTGAGATAATACAGTGAAATATATACAGAAGGAATATAATATCTGAGATAATACACTGAAATATATACAGATGAAATATAATATCTGAGATAATACAGTGAAATATATATATACAGGGAATATAATATCTGAGATAATACAGTGAAATATATACAGATGGAATATAATATCTGAGATAATACAGTGAAATATATATACAGGGAATATAATATCTGAGATAATACAGTGAAATATATATACAGGGAATATAATATCTGAGATAATACAGTGAAATATATATACAGGGAATATAATATCTGAGATAATACAGTGAAGTATATACAGATGGAATATAATATCTGAGATAATACAGTGAAATATATATACAGGGAATATAATATCTGAGATAATACAGTGAAATATATATACAGGGAATATAATATCTGAGATAATACAGTGAAATATATACAGACGGAATATAATATCTGAGATAATACAGAGAAATATATACAGGGAATATAATATCTGAGATGATACAGTGAAATAACCCAACGTATATTAATTAATATTCGCTTTATTCGCGGATGGCCACGAAGCGCGAATATTTGTTTGCGCGAATAAGTCTGTATGATTTCGCGAATAAATTGGAGAGAAATTTTTATTTTAGACATGGTTATGCAAAGCTACTTGACTGGATATATTAGAATTTTACGGGCACCTGTTAGGAAGTAATGAATTGTTATGAATATTGCCATAAAGCAATAAAAACACAAACTAAGTAAACTACTACTATTTTATAAATATCAAAAGAACTCTATGTCAATATAAGGTAATATAAGATATGAGATAATACAGTTAAACATATATACAGAGAATATAATATCTGAGATAATACAGTGAAACATAATTATATACAGAGAATATAATATCTGAGATAATACAGTGAAATATATACAGAGAATATAATATCTGAGATGATACAGTTAAACATATATACAGAGAATATAAGATATGAGATAATACAGTGAAATATATATACAGAGAATATAATATCTGAGATAATACAGTGAAATATATACAGAGAATATAATATCTGAGATAATACAGTGAAATATATACAGGGAATATAATATCTGAGATAATACAGTTAAACATATATACAGAGAATATAAGATATGAGATAATACAGTGAAATATATATACAGAGAATATAATATCTGAGATAATACAGTGAAATATATACAGAGAATATAATATCTGAGATAATACAGTGAAATATATACAGGGAATATAATATCTGAGATAATACAATGAAATATATACAGAGAATATAAGATATGAGATAATACAGTGAAATATATATACAGAGAATATAATATCTGAGATAATACAGTTAAACATATATACAGAGAATATAATATCTGAGATAATACAATGAAATATATATACAGAGAATATAAGATATGAGATAATACAGTTAAACATATATACAGGGAATATAATATCTGAGATAATACAGTGAATTATATACAGGGAATATTAAATTTGTGATAATACATTGTACAGTGAAACAATCGATCACATAACTAGAAATGTGTCCATAGGACACGGGTGCCCCCACCGCGCCACTGTTCTGTCAATCTTATGACTCTAGGTCAAATATTTTTTGAAAACTAAAAATCTTTTACTAAGTAAAGGGCAAGAACTTTACAAATACTGAATAAATCCACAAGCACACCCCAAGGTGTATAAGTACACATGCTGACCAACATTCTTGCAAACTTTCAGGCCTACAAGTGAAATACTTTTTTGAGCTATGCGTGAACAAGTTGAAAATTGCAAATTTATACTACTGTAAGTCAAGGGCAATAACAAAACTGAAAAAAATCCACATGCAAAGTCCCAGGTGCATAGCTTCACAGTGATGTGAATCATTATTCCTGTAATTTAGTGATGTTGATCATTATTCCTGTAAAGTTGGTTGATTCTAACTCAAGCACTCAAGGAACAAAAGATGAACAAGTACATTTAACAATTATTTAGCATAGTTTAAGGGTTAAAGAAATAAACTGTGTTACCAAAAAATTACAGCTTGCCTTACAAATATCATCTTGGCTCAGAAATGTAAAACGCTTTATTCAACACTCTAGGCAAATCAGAGATATTGACCAAATTTTTCAATATTTACATAGCAAATGTGATATTAGCAAGAACAAATATTGGCTTAACATACCACATTTTACTTGGCAATTCAAATATGGGCACATTACTGGTTAGGGACTACCAAAACTGGACAACCACCAAACCCGGACGGCCCCGAAAATGCTTGATTTAGAATTTTCTTTGTTCAATGGTTGTCAGTCACTTTTTTATCAACAATAAATGCATGTTTCTTCTATAATTAAGTAAATAAATTTATTTCAACCTCCGTAAATGGTAATATTTTAATGTCTATTTCAAGAATGTTGACGTTGAAATTCGGGGGTCAAGAAAGCAATGCCTGACCTCATATAACAGCAATAATTATTTGCAAAGTAAACAATAGAATATCCAAATCTTCAGCATTTGCTGCTGAAATATTGTGTGTCATGTTAAAAATAAAAAAAAAGAACACCAAAGCTTTTATCTGAATTAAATCAACGTTATTACATATCTGTCCGGACACATGGTACTGTAGTATGTACAATTTAGGTAATTTTGATACCCTCCTTGACGGGCCTCGGATATAAGTGTCAACATAATCAGAACTAAACAAACTAGTTCTTAGTTAGGAGAAGAACCTAGCTGTACTGTGTCAAATTTTCGTACCTTTAGCTTTAAAATTATGAAATTTGTATAGAAAAATGTTCAAAAAGTGTCCGGTTGATGGTCCCTGACCAGTAACAGACCAACTTTTTAATAACAAAATCAAATGCTGATTAAATAAGCAATCTTCATTTTTTGACAAAAAATACCCAGTTTTTACAACCCTGTGATAAAGTCTACAGTTAAACAAATATCATAAAATTGGCCAAAAGCTGAAATTGGCCAATAAACTGAAGAAAACTCTTCCTTACCCTCATGGGAAGAATGAAGAGAAAAGTTTACTTTCATTCACGGAACAGATAGTTACAAAACTGTGTCAAGTTCTGGCGTGACAATTTATCTCTCCATTCTAACAAATGAGAATTTCTCCTAATATATAAAGACACGGCAACATTATCATTTATCTTTTCTGGCACATAGATTTGGGATGATATAGAAGAAAATGGAATTTTACACAAAGATAAGCGTTTTTCTTCATAAAATTTCGATGAATTTAACTTCACTTCATAGAAATGGAAAAAAAAAACTTCTTCAATTCAATAAGACATATTTGTAACATTATTCATTTCTCAGACAGAAAAAAATCATGATTAATAATGAATTACACGTCAGTATCAATGATAGCGAGTAATTTTGTAATATGAGCACAAAGCTACAACAACTTGTACATTTAGCGCAGTAT